CCCTTGAGAACAATGGGGAATTCCCATTCCCGACTCCCCTCCCTTGAGAACAATGAGGAATTCCTGCCTCCTCCTTGCCCTCCTTTGAGAACATTGGGGAATTCCCACCCTTGACTGTCCTGGAGAACACTGGGGAATTCCCATCCCCCACTCCTCCACTGAGCGCAATGGGAGCTGCTGGATTCTGGGTTCTTCTGAAAATCTTGCCCCTTGTTTTAAGCTCTCTCTAGAAAAGGATGTTCAAGAAGCACCCTGCTGGGGGAGGGGGCTTTAGAGTTTAGTCAGGAAGAACAAAGGGGTTAGGGTAAAAGCTCACTCCACACCCCCAGCCTGGCCTCTGTCCCTGAAGTGGAGGGATCCAATTTCTATGCTGTAGATGCACCCATGGTAAGTTCAGTTCGGTGAGGGAGATGCCCAGGCTGACTCTTCGCAGGAGCTGCACCCTTTGGAGGCCAGCAAGGGGAGATTCAACTAAATTAAAAAGTAGCAAATGCAAAACCGATCAAAGGAAATACTTTTTCACTTAACACATTACTAGTCTGTGGAACTAACCGCCACAGCAAATTGTCAAGGCCAAGACCTTAGCCTGATTCAAAAAGGGGCTGGATATTTATACAGACGACAAGAATATCCAGAGTCACAATAAATAATAAACAAACATTCTGGGAGGAATAGTAAAGCTCCTGCTTCAGGGCTTAAGCCAATGTCTAACTATGAGAGACTAGGATGAGACCTACCTGCTACTGCAGGGGTCTTACACCTTCTTCGAAGCATCTGGTGCTGGCGCATCTCAGCAACAGGATCCTGGATTAGATGGGCCTTCGGTCTCATCCAGTCTGACAATTCCTAACAGCAGTCTGAAGGGACTCCTATGTGAGATGCGACAAAGAGTCCTGTGGCACCTTATAGACTAACAGACGTATTGGAGCATAAGCTTTCGTGGGTGAATACTCACTTCGTCAGACGCATGTGGTGGAAATTTCCAGAGGCAGGTATAAATATGCAGGCAAGAATCAGTCTAGAGATAACGAGGTTAGTTGTACATAACGAGGTGAGATGTACATCCTCACTCTCACTGCATACGGGGCCAACCCGGAGCTCCCCACTCAGTTTTAACTCAAGCAAATTCTCACTGAATTCTCATGAGGCAGAGTAAGAAGGAAGGACATCAAAGAGAAGTTAATGCCTTGGACTAGGACTCAGGAGGCCTGGGTCCAATTCCTGTTTCTGGCACAGCCTTCTTGTGTGGTCACTTAAATCTGTGGGTGCCTCAGTTCCCCATATGTCAAACAGGAGTGATAATTTGAGCTGGCAACTTTCAGTGAAAACTCTTAAACCAAATTATTTCAGGGAACATGGAATTGTAGTTCACTTCTCTTGTCCCCGTTCCCTTCTGAGGGCTGGGATCCCCAGCTTGACTATATCTCCCATAATGCATCATGGTTCCCCCCTCTTCACTGGCATAAGCTGTGCATCACAGAGTCCCTGCTCATGGTGCATTATGGGAGATGTAGTCCAACTGGGGATCCCAGCCCGTACAGGAGAACGGGGGAAAGAGGAGCAAACTGCAACCCCTAGGAGCAAACTGCAACCCCTATAAGGCACTAGAGCTCCCATTTTCAGCTGAAATACTTCAGTTTTCAGACAACATTTTTCAACAAAAAAACAATTTTCTGTGGAAAGTGGACACTTTTCACAAAAGGTGTCATTGAATCGAAAACCCAGGTTTCCACTGAAAACCGATTTCAACAGAAAATTTTCAACCAGCCCTTGTAATGATCCTTCCTTTGTCTTGTCTATTTAGATTGCAAGTTCTTTGAGGTAGGGACTGTCTCTGACTTTGTGGCCGTACAGCACCTAGCACAATCGAGCCCTAGTTGCAGTTGAGGCCTCTATGTGCTATTGCAATAATAATAATAAGCTCTAAGCAACAACATCAAGATTTGGATCTGGGTACGTTGTGGATCCAGGTCTGTGCTAAAAAGGGAACCATGGGCTCACAGATTAGATTGTTTGCTTTGCATTGATCTAGAGACCACTTGATTCTTCCACCAAGTCTAAGCTATGACATCAGAGTGCCTTCCTTTTGTTCGGGTGAACTCACACTGCACTTTTTTTGTTTTTTTAAACTTTTTATGAGGACAAGGTTACAATAAAATGTTACCATACTACATCACTTATCCAGGCTCAGGTTAATATTCCCAAGAACCTGGCTAAAGATTCTGCTCTGGAAGTGACCTCTGCTTGGAGACATCTTTCAGGGAGACAACTTGGATCTGGGGGGTGGCTTGAGTCTGGTTCCATACTGCTTCAGAAACAGCAAACAGACTGCCGCTATTTCCTGACCATAACTTCTTTCCCGACTTGCCTTCTTGAGCCAGAGTCTCTCTCGTGTGCTTGAGGAGGAACAAGATGACATAAAGCAAATTATCCAGCAGGATCAGGCAGAGATTAAAGCAGGCATTTCATAGCGTTTATTTTTAAACCAAGGCAAGAAAATTGAGTTCTTCCTTTTTGAGATTCATTTCTCATCTAGCCATAGCAATTGCAATTAGGTGTATTTGAGGGGTGTCGGGCAATTAATACATATATCAAATCTTTCATGTAATTTAGCATGGCTTTACCTGGGAACAAATATGCTTTTGGTGTGTTAAACGAGCATTAAGAACCTTTGGTTTTCACTACCTCCTTGGACTCATAGGTGTTTGTTAAGGGATTAATAAAATGCTGCTTTCATAGCCAAGTAATCAGCCTGACATGTGAAATTTATCTTGCTGTCCCAACACCCTGGACTAGGTCCTGTTGGAAAATGCACTCACCAGCATAGCCCAAGCATGGCAAAGTCACATTTTCCCTCTTGCTGTCCTGTGTGATGGTGTTGGTTTCTCTGAGAAGCCCACTGTGAGAACAAGCAGAGTGCAAATAGGTCTGTAAACAATGGAGGCAGCAAAGTTAAATTGGTAGAGCAGGAGATGGGGAGGCAGGACACCTGGGTTCTAGTCTTAGTTCTGCCACTGACTCACAGCATGACCTTGGCCAAGCCACTTAATCTCTGTGTCTCAGTTTCCCCTACTGCAGAACTGGTATAATAAAAACTGGGCACTTCAGAGGAGTTATGAGGCTGAGTTAACTAATTTGTGAGGGGCTTTGAGATCCTTAGATGTAAGTACAAAGTATTATTTTTAATATAACTGGCCAGAGTACTGGTTCAGCCAAACAGCTTAAATCAAAGACACCACATCCTTCCACCAGCAAAATAGTAGGGCTTGAAAATTTGGAATGGGGAGAGAATCTGAATGCTGATAGGCTGATATGGGTGTGTGTAGGATGCACACTTTGCAGGGTACGCTGTGTGGGGTGGCATAGGGGTGCATTCTGCTTACTTCCTCATAAACTAGATTCAGCGATAACGGAGACTCAGAGGGATTCTCATGGACCGTGAACAGGCATTTCATCCTAGTGAGTCTCATGTCTCCTAGGCACTCAGGGCCCCATGGTGCGTTGCTTTGAAAGCACAGGATGCTAGTCATGAATTACTGCCCTGCCTATAAGTCTGTAATAACATCCAGCCCTTCAAAAAAATGGGGCCAGTTCCGGGGGCCCAGTTCTCAATAAGAGTCTTGCCTAAGTCAGGAGCTCATCATTTGGCTCCAGGAGCCTGCAACTTTAGATTATCTTCAGAGTAAAGTTCAGCTCTGAATCCTGACCCTAATGCTCTCAAAGTGCAGGGATGTTTGGATCTATCATAGAGACAGGGGAAAACTGTTAAGTTCAGATCCGGCTCTGAACTTTCCCGAAGTTCCTTGCTGTTTTGATCTGGGGTTTTGATTCAAGCTCATCTCTAATCCTGCCAGTTCCAGACAAAAAATGACCTATGCATTGTCAAACCAATTCAGATGGATAGCCCACTAGTCTAGTGGATTTCAGTCCCACTGCTGGATGTGCAGTAGCAAGGAAGAGAAAGGGGTGTTCATGTACATACTGTGGATGAGATGCTCAGAGACACGGGCAGAGAATGGCCAGTGCACAGGACTAGGATCGGGGACCCAGCCACAGCTTTGCCCTGGGGGCCTCTCTGTGCCATTTATGAAACGGGGAAGAGGGGTAGTACTTCCCTTCCCCACAGGGGACCGTGAGGCTTAATTCATTTGTGTAGGTCAGGTGCCTTAAGGGCCTCAAAGGGAAGATAACAAGGACAAAGCATTGGCGTTGTTAGAGTGCCAGTCTGCCCATCACCGGTGAGTTGGCCAGGCCGAAGAAGGTATTTTGACATGCCTAGCAGATCACCCCGGTGCCCCAGCCAGCACTCCCTCGCCCCACTGACATGAGCCACTGCAGAACATGGGTGGTGCCTGTTGGGCCTGTCTGCACACTCCCTGCCCGGCCGGGCTCCAGCTCGTTGTAATGTGCAGCACTTCGGATGCTGCGAGTAGTGTCAGGCACGGTCTGAAACCAGCCGAGTCTATTCTGTCAGTCTAGGAGCAGGGAAAAGGTTGTTGTCATGGACCTGACCTCTGGTGTCCGATACTGTCAGTCCTGTTCTTTACCCTGAAAGGCCCTGTGATGCTCTCACAGAATAGCAGTAACCCTGTCTCTCTCTCTCCTCATTTAAAAGGGCTCGAGTGCCAGAGGCCAAAGCGTCAGAACTCAAGCGACGACATTGAGGTCCTCTCCACAGGAACCCCGCTCCAGCAAGAAAGCCCAGAGCTGTACAGGAAAGGCACCACCCCTTCTGACCTCACTCCTGACGACAGCCCCCTGCAAAGCTTCCCCGCCAGCCCCTCCTCTACCCCGCCGCTGGGCCCCACCTGCAGGACCAAGAGCGCCCATTTCTCCAGACAGGTCTCGGTGGACGAAGAACGGGGTGGGGAGATCCAGATGTTGCTGGAGGGACGAGGCGGAGACTACTTGAGACCCAACAGCTGGAACGAAGACAAAGCAGGCGGGACACGTAGCGTTAGAAGTGGGACCCTGCGCAGCAGTCATTTGGGGTCTGCCTCCATCCCTGAAGATTACAGAGGCCGGAGTGGAGGGCACAAACATATGGCCTCCAACCACAAGCAAAGAGAGAGGTGGACAGATTCCCCAGCCACAGTTTCTTGGACTTCCCACCACCGGTCCCACAACCACAGCTCAGGGAGTGCCAAGTTGCTTGAGCTGGATGAGGAGAAGTTGAGCAATTACGAGATGGAAATGAAACCCCTCATGAGGATGGATTCTTATATGCAAGAGATTCACACCCAAAAAAGACACTATAGTAAAACAGGCCCCTGCAGGAGCCTGGCTGAGGACCACCGTGGGGAAGACCGGGGCTTTGGGGTTCAGAGACTGAGGTCTAAGTCCCAGAACAAAGAGAATTTCAGGCCAGCTTCCTCTGCTGAGCCCACAGTGCAGAAACTGGAAAATCTGAGGTTCGGGGACAAAGCAGAACCCCGGCTATTAAGGTGGGACTTAACCTTCTCCCCGCCACAGAAATCCTTACCTGTTGCACTAGAAGCCGAAGAGGAAAATGGGGATGAGCTCAAATCCAGTACGGTAAGTAGACAAACTTGTGTCGTTGAACCTGACTCAGGAAGCAGATGCCAAGGCGAACCTGAGCTGGTTCAGAACCGTTGCAGTGTTAGAAAGGTGTGGAAGAAAATTCACGCCATGAGAAAAACTGCCCCCCTCTCCCCCAACCAACCACCTTTAGTACCTTGAATTCCCCCTGCCTCCCATTCGTCACAAGGTATCAAGTACATTGAAAGGTGATTTTTGCAGCTTGTTTTACTGGCAAAATGTCTCTGGGGAAATGGCAAATTTTCTACATTGGGCGGGGGAAGGTATAAGCAGGGAAATGTGATTTGTTCCGAGCTAAAATTTTGTCACAATGAAATCCCAGCAGGACTCAGACTTGATCAAATGCATGAAACATTGCAAACCACCCTCCCTCCACCCAATAAAAACCCAGCACCCTCAGAAACGACAAAATAATTATCAGGTTCCTGCCCACATGAAAATTCACCCAGCAAAAAAAAGAGCAGGTCCACGCAGCTTTTGTTGATACATTTTATCGGTAGGCCTGACAAATCCAACAGTATGAAATAGCCCAGTTGCAACAGCTCGGTATTTGAATCCTTACCTCACGCCATTGCATCCATGTACAGTGATGTCATGTCGCTGCATCACAGTGTATCTCCCAGTGTGATGCAATGTTCTTGTGCCATAGTGTTGTTGCATTGCAAAGCCTGAAATAAATGTGATCCTTTAATTGTGCAATACGACAGTCATGGAAGAGGCCCAAGAAAATTAGGACTGTTCTCTGAATTTCTGGATAAGGGATGAGCTTGATTCTAGTTTAACTCTTGGGAGTGAGCTGCATAGCACTGAACGCCCACAAATCCTATGGAAGTCACTAGGAGCGTGTAGGTGCTTTGTCTGGCCCTAAATATCTGCAGGGAGCTGGGCCTAAACAACTGATCTGTTAGCACCAATGCACAGGGCTCTGTCACAAGAGCTAAAGGTGAAATCCAGCCCTTGTTGTGGGCTAGGCCCTAGCAGGTGATGTTACTTATGCACACAAACCCAGTACATCATATACGCCCCCAGAGTTAGACAAGCTTCTGCGGTTCACAGGAGTTGAACCCAACCTACGTGCTGGAGACATAGTTACTATGTAGATCACACACACAGGGAACTGGCGCTCAAACCCTGGCTTCAGATCTAAACAAACATTAATGCAAGACAGTTATTACTGACTAACTAGCAGGTACAGCCTACATGTAAAGATGCACAGACAAGCCATTAGAATTCACATCATATTTCTAAGTGCTATAACTGGGAAGCAGCATGTTCAGTTTTCTCACATTCATAACCAAGGGTGGAACAGATGGTGAAGGTTTGAGTTGAAGTTAATGAAATACAGAGTGATAGATGATATGTGGATTTAAATAACCCATGTTGCTGGCGACTCTTTGTTCTAGAAAGAGTTTTGCTGCATTAACAGGGTTTGAGTCCAGTGGCATGGACAGGAAGGGAGTCATCAGAAAGAGCTTGTTGAGTGAGAATATCTAGAACACAAAGCATCACCCATCCACAGCATAACAACAATACAATGTCGCATACATATAGCATGTTGCACCTTCAAGGATCTCCAAACATTTCACCAACATTAGGGAGTTTAGCCTCACTTTACCCAAAGGTAGCTGTGTGTGATTAGCTCCATTTTACAGATGGGAAAACTGAGGCACAGAGCAGTTAAGCCCCTTGTCCAAGATCACACAGTGAAGCAGTATCAGAACCAGGAAAAGGACATAGCACCTTCTAGCTCTGTGCCGTCAGAGCCACCGAGTTCATGAGTGGGAACCCCAAACCTGTGCAAAGCATTGCCGCTCTGGATTTCCCAGACAGGCTTTAAGTTTTTCAAAGCAAGTTTAAGTCCATCCAGCCTCCCCAGAGCACAACTTAAACTGCCAGTTTTAGACACGCCTTCCTATTTCCAGCAGGCTGCCTCCAGCACGCGGGCAGCCCTGATGCACGGCCTCCTGGCGGAAAGGTTTTGCAAAACGCAAACCACAGCTCCTGCAAAAGTCTGTGCGCTCCCACGCACTGGCCAGCTTGCATGGCGGCCCTGCTTTCCTGCCATCCCCAGCTTTGCCATTTGGGAAGCTGTTTGCTGAAAAGGACATTTCTCATCTCAAAGACAGCTGGGCCACTTCCGAAAGTGGAAGAAAGGGACGCTATTAGCTGGGCAGGTCTATTTTTGACCTGCCTGGAACATCCTTGAGCATCACCGTTGCAGGACAGGCGGTTTTAAAAAGAATCGACCATGAACCAGCTCCACACAAGCCACGAATGAAACCAGAATACCAGCTCCTAGTTGCAGTAGCCTCTCTCCTCTGGATGATGAGTCCAAATCCAGCCCAGCTCAGGAATGACCATCCGATATCTATTGGGTGCCCTATGTGACGAGAACAGGGTGGGTTCAGGTCAGTTCCCAGTGAAGCCATTATCACAGCTGGCACTAATCCCACCCCTTGTTATTAGCGTTATAGGAGCGCCCAAGGGGTTGAAGTGCTGTGGAGGCTGTGCCTTCCCTCTAGATGTGATCCTTCCGGGCCAGGGCTGAACAACAGTGTGTGTGGGGACGGGAGAGACCGGGGTTGGGAAGCATGTGCTGCTTTGGCATGTGCTTTCTGTGGGTAGTCAGGGGATTTCAGTCTTCAGGGCTCTCAAGCCAGTACTCAACTCATATGAAAAATTTAAAATAAAGTTTAAAAAAACCTTGATGTTTCTGTGTGTGTGTGGACCTGCACACCCAGAACAAACTCACATCAACATGCAGCGGATTGCCACCATTTGGGCAGAGGAATATGGACATGGAAAAACTTTTTCACTAGGAGGGTGCTGAAGCACTGGAATGAGTTACCTAGGGAGGTGGTGGAATCTCCTTCCTTAGAGGTTTTTAAGGTCAGGCTTGACAAAGCCCTGGCTGGGATGATTTAGTTGGGGATTGGTCCTACTTTGAGCAGGGGGTTGGACGAGATGACCTCCTGAGGTCCCTTCCAACCCTGATATTCTATGATTCTATGGATGGGCGAGTACTGGCACCTGTATTGTCAGGTTGGGGGGACCGTATGATGTAGAAATCTGTCCTGCATTTGGATGGTCCATAGCTTTCTGTATCCTCTGGACCAGTCTTTGAAAACTAACCTTTGGGGAGGTATGGAGGAAGAGAGAGTCTTTAAAATGCCAGCAGCCCTTTTACTCGTCAACACAAAATTCATCATGTTTTTAGGAAGGGGAGAATAAATACATGACTTGAGTTGCAAAGGGGGTGAACATCTGCATCTCCCAGGCAAGCTGATGAGTGTTGTGGGACCTCAGTCAGGCCAGAATTCAGACATGAACTGATACCAAAAAGTTTCATTTGACTATTGTAATTTAGCAGGAGTGATCACATTTATTTAACAGGAGTACTTGTGGCACCTTAGAGACTAACAAATTTACTGTCTCTAAGGTGCCACAAAATTTGTTAGTCTCTAAGGTGCCACAAGTACTCCTGTTATTTTTGCGGATACAGACTAACACGGCTGCTACTCTGAAACCTGTCACATTTATTTAGATGAAATGCTTACAAGGACAAATTCTGGTCTCACTGAAGTCAATGACAAACAGCCTGTTGATTTCAGCAGGACCAATACTTGGTCCTTTGACGTTCTCCTTTCACAGGCGTTCATTAGTAAAGCCCTGTCCACTTTTGGGTACAACCCATGCTACCAAAAATCTGTGTTCACCTCTAACACATTTGCCCTCACCCCTAGACATTGTCAGATGCCGGTTTGGTTTTCTCAGTTATTTGCTAAAATCTTGTCTTATTTCAAACTACTCAAGAACAACTAGTGTGGTCCTCAATGGAGCCAGATGCTCAGTGAAGGTTATGGGAGTTTTGTTTGATTAAAGACCGCAGAAATGTCACTGTTCAACTTCAACTACCGGCAAGGCATTATAAACAGAAAGAGGAAGAAATTCCAGTGGCAGCCAGGTTTTGTTTTTTTAAGAGGCACATTCTCTATTGAGATATCCTAAGCATGTTTCACTGTCATCAGGGAAAGTGAAAGGGAGCCAGCCACCCTATAATTAGAGCCTCTCTGCTGAGGTATCACAGTGGAAGTGATGGGGGTGTCAGTGAAGGCTGCTTGGCCAGGTATTGAGCCAGGGGGAGGATACCTGAGAGGAGAAGGTGATATGAGTCAATGCGTAAAGGGGGAAGGCAGCGGGGCGGATGGAATCCAGCAGCTGTCCCCAGAAATAGAACCTCCCAGCCTACGTAGGTGACAAACGTTCCTTTCTCGGCTTTTTCAGGGGCTTTCAAAGTATTTTAAAGGGATTGCACCTCGGGATGGACAATTTGCATTTGAAAACTTAGTCACCTTGAGTCCCAAAGAATACGAAACAAGTGATAAAAATAGCAACCGGTTGCTGCCTCCGTAATGAACTAACACCCACTCCCTGCGCCAACAGAGACTCTTTCCACTCGATGTTTAGGAAGACAGGCCACTGAGAGTGAATCGCTCCTCGCTGCTCCTGGTAAAGGGCTCTTCCCACCCCCTACCCTCTGCTGTCATTTGGCAGGTTGGGCTGGTCAACGAGAACATTGTTTGGACTCTGAATGGCTGTTCACTTCACCCACATTTGTATCTCTGCCTGGGCCTAATCCAATGCCCTATGAAATCTATGGAAAGACTTCCACGGTCTTCCAGGCCATTGGCTTAGTCCCCTTATCTGCTATACACTGGTGTGAATGGGGCTTATTTGCATAGCTGGGCAATGGGGTTCCTGGGGTCTTTCCACATTCAGGCCTTGATCTTACCCCTTCCCAGGCCTCGTGTCTCATCACAGCCTTTTTCCACAGCCCTCTCTCCAGGCTACTTCCACAGCACCACACTTCATTTCTGAGCTCTCCCTGGTCTCCCTCACTAGAGACACTCACAACAGGGCCAATGTCTCCCTAACTACTCTCCTTACTGACCATATATCTAGTCCTGTAGTCACTT